CCGAGCACCGCCGGAACCCCTTCCAGCACCGCGCCCGTGCTGCCCCCTCGCCGAGCCCCACGCCGCGCCGCCGGAGCGCCCCCCGCCCCCGTGGAATGCCGCGCCGCGCTCCCCCTGCCGCCCCTTACCAGGGGCCACCCCAAGCATGTGCTTGGGTGCCTGGTGCCTGGAGTCGGCCCTGCTGAGATCTGTGGCTCATAAAACTGATGAGGTTAGCTATAGTAAGAGAAGAGGAAGCTGGGAGAGCTAATGTTAGACTAAAACAAAATGATTTCCACAGCAATTTTGATTTTAATATTATTGATATTTATATCATTTAAGGAAGTCCACGCATTAAACCTCCTATACTTTGTGCAGCTTATTTGAAGAAGGAGGGAGTGATCAAGTGAGCTTAGTCTGAGTAATTCAAAGTATCCTAATGAATTTGAAAAAAAATATTAATTAAGGAATAGGATCTTGGGTTCTTCCACAACTATCACAAATAAGATCTCCCAATGAATGTCGAGTAAAGGAAAAAGTATGTTATATAAAGGTGTAAGATAAAACTCTAACAATGTTCCGAGCTGTGGAAATGCAGGTAAAAACCAAGCCCCCAGTAATACAGCACGCTCACCTCTCCAAAATTTCTCCAAATTTGTGAATTTTAAGAAAGTTAATTTACTGTTCCATTAGGTGCTTTCTGCTTCATTGTATTGTCTGTATTTACTTTACCCAGTGCTCAGGTAGACACAGAGTCCATCTTAATCTCTGTAACAAATTTTAAAAAGCTCTTATTCTGATGCATAATCCCACTAGATCCTTAACAAAATTATTTCAAAGTAAAAACATTGGGTCTGATTCAACATTCTAGTATTCCAGTTTAAACTGGTGAAATTCCACTGAAATTAATGTAGTTACATTAGCAAAAAACAGAAAAACTGTTTCTTTTTCAGACAGTGTAAGAAATGACTTGTTAAAATAGCGAAGGTATGTGAAAAGCTTGAAGTGTATGCAGTTAATAGTGACACTCTAGAAAGAGGTTGCATTTACTAATTATGGCGATAGATGGCACTGTTTTATTAAAGGTTGGCGAGGAGGCTTCAAATGCTACATGTCAGCAAAGAATCAATTATAAATGTGTATAATATAAAATTATAAATCAGACACTGGCAAGTATTGCTGTCTCATAGGATAATAGTGTTGTACAAATTTGTGAAACAACACTGCTCAAAGTAAATGTGAAAGAATACCTGAAGGGGCCACTCCGCTAGAACCCGAGCCAGCTCTCAGTGAAGTCAATGGGATTCTTTCTCTTAACTTCAGTGGGAGCTGGAGTAGTCCATCAGTCTAGGAGAAGTTCATACAAGTCTGTACAAAAGCATGACTTTCTGTTCATTTTAGTGTCAGCAATACACATAACGCTCTGTGTGATTAAGAAATTTCTTATATGATGAGAACAAAAATCTTGGTTACTTTATGGAAAGTCCCTAGATACAGTCTAGGGAAGTCAATGGAAGTTTTACCATAGATTCAGGGGATCTAGGCTTTCACCCTGTATGTTTATAATAGATTTTGCATACCTGTGGACCTTATTATACAAATTATGGTCCAAATCCTTCAATTTTTACTCAGAAAAAAACTCGCATTGATGCAGGAATGCAAGATCTAATTGTTTTACTTCTAGTTACCTTGTAAAGTATCTCCTCAAAACAAAGTAATGTTTTTAAAGAAAAACACTTGGTTTTTTAATGCAAAACTCCAATCTCTGTTAGTTTTCGAAATTCCCATTTTGTGGTTTATGTTTTTCAGAAATTCACATGCAAAATCACATCTTAAAACAGATGCTTGGCATATGAAATCCAAATATTCCTGGCAGGAAAGTTTCTGTGATTTTCATGATGATGACAGTTTTCCGAAGGACAAGGATAAAGAATTCTGTGAAAATGTAGAGTTATTTCAGAAGTACAGGTCAGAAATAATTATACTTTTACAATATAATTGATACACATTTGGACAATGTAATACTGAACCTGACAAAAAAAGTCAGAGACCCACACACCATACCAAGCTCTGCTTCCTTGTATTTATTCACCCATATCCTGATTTCCTTACTCAGGAAGAACTCCTTTTAATAGTAATAGGACTTTACCACTGTTAGAGAATTTAGTCCTCTATGAAGAAACTTTTAGAATTATATATAAGCAGTTAGATCCAAATCTCCCATTAATATCTAATTTCCTATGACATTAACTGAAAAATAATCCTTTCCACCTAATTTTTAAAGGTGCCTCAACCTGGCCTTCTTTTAGTTTTGTGAACAGCTATTTGGGGGCACAAATGAAGACATGTAGACACAGAGGGCCTCATCCAAAGTCCATTGGTGTAATTGTGAATCTTTACATTGACTTCAGTGAGCATTATATCAGGTCCCTAGTTGACAAGTGCAGTCTATATGTTTTTATTTGTTTCCCCAGTGAATTGTGCCCAAAGTTATATGCCACACCAAATTGCAGGTACACGACAGGGTTTTAAAAGTCAGACCTTTGATATTCAAGGCATTTAACAGCCATTTGGAAGTATCTCCCAGCCAAAGGAGAGGTAACACACCACAGACAAGAAATAAGAGGAAAAAAATGTAAGGAGAATGGGATATGGACAGGGGTAAATAATAGAAAGGGAAAACTGAAGAAATGAAAATATGGGTAGGAAAGGAAATCCCTAAATTACATTAAAATGAAAAGCAGTCAAAATGTCATTCAGAAAAATACACTGAGATTAAGTGATATCATTCACTTGAGCTCACTCAAGCACTACTGTTCTGGAATTTGTTGCCACCATAACTTTAGGATGTATTCATTTATTTTCGTGAAGTTCAGAATTGCGTGTTATTTATCTGCATGTTACCTGCATGTAACTAGATTTACTAGAATGACTATTTAAAAGTCAAGGATGTAGAGGCATGCTGGACTACATTCAAATTAGCCCTTATTGTCCATAGCACATTTATTCCAATTTTTACAGAAGCAGATAGAGGCAAACACAACCAAATTAAGGTTATGTTTGCCTCTTTGTGCTTTTTCAAAAAGCCAGTATAGTAGAACTAATGGCAATGAGTGCCAGTATGCTTTTCACCTTTGTCTTGGAAATAGCTTTCCCTATGTTAGCCCTCTCATTCTACTTTTTCCTCTGTCCATCCTCTCTGTTCCTCTCCCTGCCCTCACACACCCAGTCCCTTGATGTACTCCTGGACATTTGTTCTATAGTTAAGAACACAATCAGACAAGTTAACAAAGATTCTGCAAAATCTACTTGTCATAAGTGTTGTGTGTAACTGATGTTAGTTAACAGGCATTTTTCTAACCCTAAATACAATTTTGTTTATTCAGACCTCACCCAAAGCTGAATTCAGAATTGCAGAAGGCTCACCATCAGCAGTTTGAGTATAGAGACAAACAGATTATAAACTGTGCATTCCCAGGGCTTGTTTTGGGGGTACAGGATGCTATTCTATATGCTGGGACTGAAGTTGTTTTGGTGGAAAAGAAACCTGATGATACCAATCAGCGCTGGATATGGAGAGATCATGACAGGTACAAGCATGTTCGCTGATCTATGAGACTAAATGTTATAAAGGGAAGCTTTCTGTATCATACATTAAAACACAATTCCAGCTCCGTGGACTGTTATCTAGTCATTGAAGTTATTTTTAGTGTATTGGGTGGGAAAGAATTAGGTTTAGGATTTTTAATAGGGTTTCAATAGTTCTTTTTTGATCATTTTCTTGTCTTACTAACCATTAATTTATAGCAAAGAATCTCATAAATGAATCTCTAGTGTAGAAAGCTGAAGATAGATAGATTTAAAAGACTTATATCAAAGTAACAATCCCTCCAATCAAGGGGAACCCTCACCACCCCCATGAGGGCTCCTTAACTCAACCACAGGGGGGACAGCAGTGTGAAGTGCTCTCTTCCCCACAGTCCACTCAGTCTACGTCAAAAGGATTAAAATATGGATTCTAGGAGGCAGTGTATTGCACTGCTACTAGAGCTCCAGACCAATGCTAATTTGAGGAATCCAGAAGCACTGTGTCCTTCAAAAACAGAAAAGGAAAACTTCAGCACGCATATGTCATTCGCCTTTGAATGCAATGACATACTGAGCATGCTTAAAATGCCACTAGCTTTATACACTGCTGTACAGTACACTACTCATCTTTTCTTCTTCACTTCTTTCCCCTGAGAAGTGAAATCCACTGCAGCAGAATGACAAAGGATACATTAAACAAATCGTGGGCTCGTGAAGAGAGAAAAACTGCACTGTTCCATCACTAGCAGTATAAAATAAAAGCAGCAGTCTTGAATAGAGAGAAAAGTGTCTGTCTCCATCTGCTCCATCCCCTTTTAAGCTCCTAATTCAAGGCTCCATATTGGACAAAGCATACAGTACAATAGATTATGCTTGGATCCCAAGCACACAGAATTGTCTTCTTATCCTAGTGAGGTAAAGGAGCATAAACACTGCCAAATTAAGTGTAAAAATGTAATAAGAAAAGCCAAAAAGGAGTTTGAAGAACAGCTAGCCAAAAACTCAAAAGGTAATAACAAAAAGTTTTTTAAGTACATCAGAAGCAGGAAGCCTGCTAAACAACCAGTGGGGTCCCGGACGATCAAGATAAAAAAGGAGCACTTAAAGATGATAAAGTCATTGTGGAGAAACTAAATGAATTCTTTGCTTCAGTCTTCACAGCTGAGGATGTTAGGGAGATTCCCAAACCTGAGCCCTCCTTTGTAGGTGACAAATCTGAGGAATTGTCACAGTTTGAAGTGTCATTAGAGGAGGTTTTGGAATTAATTGATAAACTTAACAGTAACAAGTCACCAGATGGCATTCACCCAAGAGTTCTGAAAGAACTCAAATGTGAAATTGTGGAACTATTAACTATGGTTTGTAACCGTCCTTTAAATCAGCCTATGTACCTAATGACTGGAAGATAGCTAATGTAACACCAATATTTAAAAAGAGCTCTAGAATTGATCGTGGCAATTGCAGACTGGTAAGTCTAATGTCAGTACCGGGCAAATTAGTTGAAACAATAGTAAAGAATAAAATTGTCAGACACAGAAGAACATAAATTGTTGGGCAAAAGTCAACATGGTTTCTGTAAAGGGAAATCATGTCTTACTAATCTATTAGAGTTTTTTGAAAGGGTCAACAAACATGTGGACAAGGGGGATCCAGTGGACATAGTGTATTTAGATTTCCAGAAAGCCTTTGACAAGGTCCCTCACCAAAGGCTCTTAGGTAAATTAAGTTTTCATGGGATAAGAGGGAAGATCCTTTCATGGATTGAAAACTGGTTAAAAGACAGGAGCAAAGGGAAGGAATAAATGATAAATGTTCAGAATGGAGAGGGGTAACTAGTTGTGTTCCCCAGGGTCAGTCCTAGGACCAATCCTATTCAACTTATTCATAAATGATCTGGAGAAAGGAGTAAACAGTGAGGTGGCAAAGTTTGCAGATGATACTAAACTGCTCAAGATAGTTAAGACCAAAGCAGACTGTGAAGAACTTCAAAAAGATCTCACAAAACTAAGTGATTGGGCAACAAAATGGCAACTAAATTTAATGTGGATAAATGTAAAGTAATGCACATTGGAAAAAATAACCCCAACTATACATACAATATGATGGGAGCTAATTTAGCTACAACTAATCAGGAGAGAGATCTTGGAGTCATCATGGATAGTTCTCTGAAGATAATAATATATGGAGATATACCTATCTCCTAGAACTGGAAGGGACCCTGAAGGGTCATCAAGTCCAGCCCCCTGCCTTCACTAGCAGGACCAATACTGATTTTTCCCCAGACCCCTAAGTAGCCCCCCTCAAGGATTGAGCTCACAACCGTGGGTTTAGCAGGCCAATGCTCAAACCACTGAGCTATCCCTCCCCCTGTCTTAGCCTTCTCTATTCAAGATGTCCACATAGTATGCAGCGGCAGTCAAAAAAGCAAACAGGATGTTAGGAATCATTAAAAAAGGGATAGAGAATAAGACGGAGAATATCTTATTGCCCTTATATAAAACCATGGTACGCCCACATCTTGAATACTGCATACAGATGTGGTCTCCTCATCTCAAAAAAGATATATACTGGCATTAGAAAAGGTTTAGAGAGGGCAACTAAAATGATTAGGGGTTTGGAAAGGGTCTCATATGAGGAGAGATTAAAGAGCCTAGGACTTTTCAGCTTGGAAAAGAGGAGACTAAGTGGGATTTGATAGAGGTATATACAATCATGAGTGGTGTGGGGAAAGTGAATAAGGAAAAGTTATTTACTTGTTCCCATAATATAAAAACTTGGGGCCACCAAATGAAATTAATGGGCAGCAGATTTAAAACAAATAAAAGGAAGTTCTTTACACAGCGCACAGTCAACCTGTGGAACTCCTTGCCTGAGGAGGTTGTGAAGGCTAGGACTATAACAGGGTTTAAAAGAGAACTAGATAAATTCATGGAGGTTAAGTCCATTCATGGCTATTAGCCAGGATGGGTAAGGAATGGTGTCCCTAGCCTCTGTTTGTCAGAGGGTGGAGATGGATGGCAGGAGAGAGATCACTTGATCATTACCTATTAAGTTCACTCCTTCTGGAGCACCTGGCATTGGCCACTCTTGGCAGACAGTATACTGGGCTGGATGGACCTTTGGTGTGACCCAGTATGGCCACTCTTATGTTCTTTAAAATCCTTCTATTTTGTCTGTGTATTAAAAGGGTTAGTGGATATCCCCAAAAATCTATTATATCAGCTTTTGCAACCATTTTGCATCAAATCCTAAAGCCAAGGGAAATTGGCCTGAATGCCTATTTTGGTATGAACCCAGAGAAAGCTTCTGGTCCCACATTATCACTCTCCCACCAACAGGACCAGACTCCCCCTCTTTACTTTTAAGTGTCTTCCTAGTAGAACCAGTGCTCTTTATTCTCCTTCTCACCTCGCTTTCTCCTGTCTTTGGAGGCCCCCACTCCCAAAACTCCAGGAGCCAGGTAGTTGTCCTGTTGTCCCATTTGGAGTCTCTGTGGTTTTAGCAAGGCAAGCTTCTTCCCCTCTATATCCATACCAGATGGGTGGCCAGCCTGACATGCTCGTCTTGCATCTGAGGGACTAGAGGCATTGCACATGGAGGTTCTGTTGTTTTTAGGAAGGGGTATTGGGTATGGCTGGAGAGTTGCCCTTCACATAGCAATGCAGGACTCTGAATGCTATTAAGAATACAGAGCTTTCTCGTGTCTTGGAGTAGGCAGTGATTTATGTACTATTAGCTGGATGTAAAGTTAAGACTATAAGAACTTGTTTGCGTTAGATAAGCTTTTCTCATGTTAATGTGGAGAACAGCATTTAATCCTAGTTCAGTTGATGCTACTATACTTTGTTGGCTCTATTTCAGTCTGAACTGCATGCTAGCAGGGAAACCCCTAAGCATTCAGGAAAGGGTAGGGAACAGCTGGGAGCCCACTGAAGATGTCAGGATGGGAGTAAAATGCCATTGACATGTCACCAGGTCAAAGGAGAAGTGTCTCTAGTCATCGTGTATTCAGGGAGGGTGGAGAGATGATGCACATATCTTCCTGTCTTTGGTCCTGAAGCCTTTTTTTGAGGGTGAGAGGAGGAAAGGGCGGTTCTCCGAAAATGCAGGAGTGAGGCAGATTCTGTTGGAGGAAGGAAGAGGGTGTGCTGTCAGGCAAGGGATAGCGCCACAGCGTTTCTGAAGAAAGAGAGAAACTCACCAAGTTTGTAATTGGTTTACTCAAACTGTGCTTTGAATGTAGGGTTTGGGGTAAATCTGAAAATCAAAATGAACTAGATCCTTGTGAACCAAACCCACCAAGGGCTATGCCAGCATTTTGGTATGTGCTAATAATCCTTCTGTCAAGGCTTCTTCATAAAAGTGTGCATTACTGTGGCATCACTCATGTTCTCTAGCTGTAAGAGTAGTTTAGGAGAAAGCCTAATGAATTTAGGTAATCTATAACATATTTGCATTTTTACATTATAGTGTCACTGTTATTTTTCTGTTCTTAGGACATTTCATTTGATGAGTGATCCAAATCTAGTGCTAGCAGTGTCAATGCCCAGCATGCAGCCTAGATATTCAAAATGTGCACTGGACATGAAAGGGTGTGCTGTTGTTCTGCAGGTAAGAGATTGCATTTAAAAGAGGAGACAAAAATTCTTGCTGTACACCTAGATGTAGGCCCAGGGTCCAGTTGTATTCAAATACCGATTCAGCTTTGAATCATATTTTCTTTGAATAGTGCTTTGTATACTATAGATAACACAGGAAGTCCAAGGGCTACAGCTGTTGCAAAGATTTAAAATAATTGTGTCCAATAAATTATCAATAAAAACAAGATGAAAGTTACATTCTGGAGTCCAGAAATGCCAAGGTAAAGTTTCATGCATATTAGTTTCAAAATAAGGAACATTTAAAGTCAGCGTGTTGAATTGTGAGTAACTGTGTCTCAGAATCATTCACTAAGTCTTTAATGCAACTGATAAATATGGGCTACAGCTTTGTTCTTTAATACTGAATACAAACAATTGCAGTTATCTCTGTCAATGCCTTTATGACATCAGTCAATGAGATAAAAACTATCACAATCTGACATTTAGTAGTGCAATCAGTTTCACAGGATATGTACTGTATATTTTCCCCCAAACTAGTTTTTATTGGAAACCAATTTGCTTTTCAAGTATTTTGTGTGTGCTTCCACTCTTTTTATGAAAGCTTTATCTTTTATTTCTTGCAGCAATTGAGGCCAGTTGGTGGAAATTACTCACATAATAATATACATCAAAGGGATTAGTCACATGCATTACAGTTTGCAGAATCAGGCCCTTGGTTTGTGACAAATATTTTAAAGTTCGTGCAATATAATAAAAGTGAGAAATGTTAAATTGATTCTGGTGAGCCCTTCCCTAGTCAGCTCAATTAAGTTCCAATATGCCAGTTGTTCTCAGAGATGCTGCCATTCTTGCACTTGCTAAAATCAAAAGGGAAGACTCGCTTATTTTGTCCATTGTTTCAGCTTTTTGCTCAGCAGAGACATTATTAATCATTCCACATCTTTTATAGATACCCTTAATGTCTTCATATTGGGAATAGCTGAATTTGTTTTGCCTAATTTTGAATGCTCTCCATCATCCTGTGTTCAGAGGACTATTTCTAAGGAAACAATAGTTTGAAAATGGAACAGAGATGGATGAGTGAAAAACAAATATAGAGGGAGATGGGGGGGAAAAAGGGAGCAGATAAAGGTATACACAAATAATTATGGAATTGATATTGCCATGTATCAGGCAGCCACTTGTGTTTTTCAGAGTTTATTATCACTAATACACAGGCAAAGAAAATGCTAGGAAGTTGTGTTTTTAAAAAATTAAATCACTACAAAGCAATTAGCCAAACCCTGAAGTGAAGTGTAAGGTGGTATAAGCTAAACTTCCTGACACTTTGATTCCCTTACACTGATTTAGACTTTCTTAGACCTATTACACCTGTGTAAGGATGTGTGAAAGACTTTGTTGTTGTAACTTACACACTAATTGCCAGAAGGGATGAGAAGATGTAAAATAGAGGGTAGCCTGCTTTAACTTACATCTTCCTATTAGCTGCTAGCTTCAGTAAACTCTTCTGTTCTGGCTCCTTGATATGTGAGTTATACCAGCTGAGCCTCACTTACACTCAGAATCATTGGACCAACTGTAGACATGATATGGTAAGTGAATGTGGGTCAAAGGGAGACAAGAAGCAGTCTGTTTTCTTGTAACATACATGTTGAAGGAGATACCAGCTACTTCAGTTTAGACTCTTTCAGGACTTACTTATACTCCCCTCTGAATTTACCCCAAGAGTTTTAAATTACAGGAAAAAAGATTCATGAACTCGTGGTTTTTGTGAACTCCAAACAATAGTCTGAGGGTTTTGCAAAATCTTGAATTCCATATGGCTTCTCATTCATATTTCATGCAGCAAGCTGCCATGCACGACGAAGTTGTTGTTGAAATGGCTTGTTTTCCCTGGGTTTTATATATATATATATATATATTTTATGAATTAAATCATTTTATATGCCAAAAGTGATTCTAAGTATTTAAATTTCTTTACCTGCATAGTATTAAAGAATGCTTGTTAGACCAGCAGAAACTGTCACGCCAACTATAATATAAAATATTGTCTAATCAAATATGCTTTTGGGATTCTGGCATTGACTGAAAAGATTGGGAAAAAATATCGATGTGACATATTTTGAAAAATAGCAATAGGCCTGTAATGAATGATATGTGATATATAATTATATAGGGAACAGCCACAGAAATTAAATAAATTGATTCTATGAATGGACATTTCCTTTTCCTTTAAGTATTGTCAGCAGAGATCCCCATTGTTGGCATACACCTGTGAATTACCCCAAAACCTAGGATCCTCTGGAAAGCTCTGACCATTTGAGGAGGGAGACACATGAACTTTGACTGAAGCTAAGGAATATTTTAGGCAAGGTTACATTAAAAAGCAGAGTCTCCTATGGACACTGAGTTCATTCCAGCTGTAAATTGGAACTTTTTCTAATCCCTCAACTTTCTTAGCTTGTTGACATTTTTTCTGTTTCTCTCCTTAGTCATATATAAGTTTGTCGTTAATAATTAAGATAAAATAAAATAATATAATGTTTGTTTTAATTTGAGGAGTATCTCCAAAGGAAACAGTACCTCAGAGAGTTTCCCAGAACTTCATTTCCAGGAATCAACATTAGCTACCTAATTTATATGCTTCCCATTACTGTAGCATCAGGGTGCCTCACAATCTTTAATGCATTTGTTTTCACAAAATCCTGGTGTGGTCAGGAAATGCTATTATCCCCATTTTATAGGTATGAAACTGAGACACAGAAGCCTAGCTCCTCAACAATATTTAGGCACCTAACTCCCATTTAATTAATCTAACCTTTGTGACCTGCCCAAGGTTACATAGGAAGTCCATTATGAAGTAAGGAATTTAACCTGGGTCACCTAAGTCCTAGGCTAACACCCTAACCACTGATCCATCCTTCCTGTCTTCTGTTCTCTTATGACCTCGTTGGGTTATTTGGGTCTTCTGCCATGATGGCAGATCCCAGAAAGAAGACCCCAGGTTTAAAGACTGCCTATCTCTGATGGCAAGATGTTGATGGCAGACCACCTATGCTGATTAGTTCACTTTTTCATTTACCTAATATTGTCTATTTTATTAACATCATTTTATGTTTATAGCACCCCTTTTATCCCAAAGGATCGCACAGCACTTTAAAACTGCTTCTGTACATACCCCACTTCTGAAATGTAGCCACCTCCATGGCAGAAGATTAGATAATCCACCATACAACACTGAGTGCAAGGGGGAAATTTGTCAAAGATACTGAGGCAAATACCTACTTTTACTTAAAGTGTCATGAGATGTTTACTGTCCACATGGAATAGACAGGACTTGAGAATTTAAAGTCTCATCTGAAAAACACACTTTTAAACAGCACAAGGCATTCATGCCAAATACTGAATAGCAGAATGCTATAGTGTAGGGATAGGATTTATCTTTTTATGTTTTGACAGAAATATAAAGAATACAGCAATGGGGCTGCCAATCAAAAGTGGCATTACATGGAAAATGCAGGAGTATTTAGTGCCTTTTACAGCACAGTACTGGATCAAGAAATCACAGCAGCAAATCATGCTTCTGTTTGCACATTCTCTGTGACCAGTAGAGAAAAAATAAACCAGCCAGTAAGTAATATATTTTTACGGTATGTAAAGTTGACATAGGGAAGTTTAATCCACTATCAATGCAGACAACAGGCTGAGTAGAAAGTTTATGTGTATACCTATATATTTATATTTATCTGAAATGGACAGATGAAATATTTCACTTTTTCTTCAGGTGCTGTCCCTGTGGGTGCTCCACTTCAGGTGTCAGTGCATAATCTTCTCTTCCTGCTAGCAAAAAAAGTACTTTGTAAAGTAATATATTGAGCAGTCATGTCTGTAGAAGTTTCTGTTTCCTAAGTATGACATCATGGCTGTGAAACAGGTCATGGTTAAATGATGATAAAATCCCCAGTCAAATTTTATGTCACTTTAATACATAGATTTGTAATAAGTAAAAGTATATTGTCAGTTACTCACCTCCGATGTCACAGTTGCTCTGTTCCAACATCAGTTCCATTTTGTAATGTCCAGAGGTGAGGGCTGAAGATCCAAAGCCATTTGTGTCCTTGTCTTATTTCAAATGAACAACAGCTATTCATGTATCCTAACTAGCAGCATCAGGAAGGTTAGCAAAGGTGGACTTGTGTTGAGGAAATCCTGAATGCTTATAGGAAGTAATTAGATAACTGTACTGTTGCACATCTGGACACTCTAAAGCATTGAAACCATTGTTTCCCCTTCTTTTTAGGGCTACTATTTTCTTTCACACAGTGGAAAGCAGAAGTTCATGATATGCTTGGCTTGTGCAAGGGCCATAAGAGGAAAGAAAGAACTGAAAAAATTACCCACAGGTAGCATGTTCTTCTGTGCCTCTGGCTCTGAGGAAGCAAATAATTTCTCCTTGGGGCCTTTTAAGTGTGTTAATGTGATGAAGGTTTGTATTTTTTTAATTTGTCCTATTAGCTGTACTGTAGACTCAGGATTATAAAATAACCTGAAAATGTTCCTAGTACATTGTTAGACTACTGCAGAACTTTGCTATCTTCACTTGAACAAATTGTAAACCTTCATATAGTCTTTCAGTTTTACTGTTCACTGATGAACAGACCAGGAAGGTTTTGGAGGTGTCACTGGGGATGGGGCCAGTGTGGATATTATCATGGTACCCGTGGATTAATAGAGGACTGCCATATCCCCTCTCTTTGGACTCCTGCCCTGGAAAAGGGCTAGGATGTTTACAATCAACCACTAGTTTTTTGAGATCAGGTTCTCAATGTTCCAGAGGCTGCACTTTTCAAGCCATTGATTGAATGCAGAGGAACAGTGGCCATGGCTACACTGGGGGAGGGGTTGGGAGTCTTCTGAAAGTCTGACCTGCTTCCTTCCTCTTCAAGAGTTCCTATGGGATACTAAAGGCCTCTGTCGGTATGTTCCCCACACCACTCATTCCAGTTCTGGGTAGTGAGTGAAAATTCTCACCAACACCATTGATCCTATGCTGAGAGGACATGACTGTCCATAATTCCACCTTCTCCAGAAGAAAGTGTGTTGAAGGGGAGTGTGGGGGGGGTCCTACTCACTCAGCAACATAGATACTCTAAAAGAATCTTGCATGTTACTGCTAATTAATGCATGTGTCATAGGTTGGTCATTGCTGCAGTACGTGGCATGTGACATATATGCAGCGTCTCCACCACTGTCTCTCATTCTGGGAATGTACTAATTGCTGAGTTTAAAATCTGTATAAAATTATTGTTGTCTTTTTCTTAATATCTTTCTTGTTGAATGGAAGTCAAAAGAGTGGCAGATTTGTTATTAGGGATATAAATGCGGTAAATATTATTTTGTGCTATACCAAATTTTGGAATAGTTTTCCTGTTAGCATTAAAATGTATCTGTTGGGGGCATATTTGTCTCTTGACAAATAGATATTAGTATTAAGAGTAAATAATTAATGGGATCTCTGCATTGAAGAAGGGGAGATATCTTTTGAAAGCTGTTTCATCTTTACCTAAACAGTTGTGTGTACAGATATTTTCAATGATCTTTAAAAGAAATACATAAATGTCTCATTAGCTTTCCTACAAAATTTGGTTTTAGCCATCTCTTGTCATCTTTAACAAATCATAGCTACCAGAAATCCCTGGAGATTTAGTGTGATCACCAAAGGTACATGCAGAGTAGATATTAGTATATTCCATATTTCAATAAATGTAGTGTTGATTGAATACATTTTAAATTAACTTGGTGAGCTTCATTAAAAGAAGTTCACTTCAGTATTGATTTAATAAAAGCAGCAGCCTGATTGGATCTGGTTCTTTCCTATCTTAAAGACTGATTTATCCACATTGGAAGCCAAAAATACCTTGAATTATTTAGAAGAAGTTCTAGCATCTTTGCGGACCGAAACCTCCATACAAACAATCTCAGAAAAGATCTCTGCAGCTATGAACCAGAAAGCAGTGAAAATAATTGCATACAGAAATGGAGCTGGCTACCGAAATGGTCAGTTAATCATTGCTAGCACATTCCCTATGGTAAGTATTAGTAACAATCATCCCCAGAGATAATTATAATGTCTAGAGTATTGGCAAAGACAAGCAGCCTTTGTCAGTGACCAAGATGAACCCAAACCAGAATCTCAAAGCTAAATCTCCCTTCATCATTAATTGTTGAGGTGTTTGTTTTGAATTCACAAATTTTAGTCCTACCCTATGCGTTTGTTTCCCAGTCTGATCCAGGGCCTGTAGGAACCTATTCTCCAGATTCAGTTTTGATATGACCCAGTATGATAAAACATTTTCATGGCATAAATCTTGCAATAACACTTGAAATTATGATATTTCCACTATTTAGGCTGATAATTGCAGGAGAACATTTTAAGAGATTTTGCCATTGTCAGACATGAATTTAGCATTTGTTCAGCCCCCAACCCAAACTCTTCATCCTAGTTTAAACCTTCTAATCTGGACCCAAACACAGCCTCCTTCTTCTGTTTATAATCAGTGGTGATTCTTCTAAGAGAAATATCATTTATGGGAATATAGACCTTATATAAAATGTAAAACCCTTTTTTTTTAAGTTTGGTTTAATCTTGAGAGATTTTAAAGTAAGTTTTCTCTATTCAGATGGAAATTTCTAAAGATAAATTATTTGACTTATAACCCAGTTCCAAAATAGAAAATTACTGTACATTATCTTGTTTATGAGAAGAATGATGACACTGAGCACAAGATGTTCAAGCTTATTTTTAATATTGCTGATAGATTAATATTGTGACTGACTGTTGGAACTCTGGAAATTTTTACAGGATTTTGGGGTCAAACTTTCTGTAAATTGGTGACAGTCTCATTGCAAGACCTTTTCACACAGACAAGACATGTCACCTTCTGTATTTTTGATATTTTGGGAATCAGAGCCTTATAGTCTCTGTGATGTGCAAAAGACCAAATATTTTAAAAATTTCTGGCTTAAGCAGGTCTTTTCCCAAAATTGATGCTAGCTAAAGATGACCTAATTCAAACCTGACTGGACCAAATTGCATGGTGCCAAAGTAGGCCTTACACCTGATTCGCCCAAAGGCCTTGGAGCAAGGCACTGGAAGATGGAGTAAGTAAAATTCACAAACTATAAGAATCAAATGTGTGGCTGAGAAGGGTCAACAAACCACCTAAATGCCATTGAGGATCTGGGTCCTAGTCCTTCTAAAGGCCAGCAAAAGCTCAGTTGAGGGAGAGAACTGCAGAGAGTAGGTAGGTTCCTGCAGGAGTTCCTTGGTCAGGTAGGACCAGGAAGGGCTGAGAGAGGTGAGGGAAAAGCCTCTGGCAACTGTAGCCCATGTTGGACAGAGAAACTACTTTATTTTGTTATTTTGCCCGAGCTTCTGTTTGACCTATAAATTTGTCCTCAAGCAAGAGCCTGAAACAGACTTTAATGTGACATCAGTCTTCTGTGGACTGGTGAGAGAGCCTATCCATTTAAAGTGTTTTCTGTGTCCTGTGTCTACAAGTCCTATGAGAATTGAAACTGTCACCAGATCAGAGTTGTTGAACTACTGCACAAGTATTTTGTAAAGTCTATATTATATCTCAGTTGGGGGTGAGGGAAAGAGTTAGCCACCACATAAGAATTGAAATAAGGAGGAAGCTTTATAATTAGCTCAAATTGTGGGCTAGGCACTAGATAACTTAGTTCCAATATTAAAACATTTACCCAGCTCCAAGTTATAGATACAGTTCTTCAGTTTATAACCAAAAGGACAACCACCTCCTTAAATCCCTTCCTAGAACTTGTAATGATCAGGGATGGTCTAGACAGTATTTGGTCCTGCCATGAGGGCAGGGGACTGGACTCGATGACCTCTCGAGGTTCCTTCCAGTCCTAGAATCTATGAACCTATGATTGGCTATTTTTGTGTTAATTTGATAATTTAATTCGAATCACTATTGAGATTAATTTGTTGATTTATTGATCTGATTTTGTGTAATAGTTGTATTACTTTCTTAATTTAGTTTAATATTAGCAGCAGTTTAGCTTTGGTGAGATGTCTTCTTGGTTTTAATCTTTTTTTGTTTAATAGTTTTAATAAAATTTATAAAAATACATTGAATTACATTTCTTTCAGTAATGAATGTAGGTCAAAAGCAACAGAGAGTCTTGTAGGTCAGGAACCTCTGAGGGACATGAGTGTATATCAGCCAGTCAGTTTAAAAGACTGATCAATTCCTCTAATTAGTCTTTGGTTCCCACTGTCTTTAGGCAAACAGATCTCATCTGACGAGACCATACCTTCCTAATATTCTGAGCCTGAAAGGATAGAACATGGCTTCCATTATTTCTGCTAAAGATCAATCAGTAGTTACAATCCACCTATCAAGTTATTTTCTTTACTATAAGCCCTGCCAGTTTCGGCAGAAAGAGACTTCACCTGGAGTTAATATCTCTGCATATCACTCCTGGCAAGTAGGGGTTTCTTAGAAGGTGGACTAAGATTTTTTTGAGAAGCTTTATGCAAAAGGATGAATCATTCTGCACTCTAGAGTATGATGACTCCAACTTGGGTCACAGCCATTTGTATTCTAGGAGAAGGTGATTGGAGTACAGCCTACATTGGTGTTATTTTATCATATATTTGACACCAGAACCCCATGTAAAATGCATTGATGGTGCCACATAAATTGCAACATAATTGTTCTTTTTGAAATTGCTGCATACAATTGTGCTCCAGAATCTAAACTTTCATATAAGGAAAAATAATTTAAAATTCCAGCCCATATGGTTGTAGAGATAACCTTTAAAGTGTGAACTCATTGTAAACCAATGCAATAATGTCTGTCTGAATATTTAGGAAGCCTGAAACAATACCTCTGAGAAGTGTGGATGTCAATATTGTTAACTATTTCAGTGCTGATCATTTTAACAGAAATACCAAGCTTATGTATTTCTCCATGCTTGTTAAATATAGTGGCAGATATTGGGCTGGGTTGGGGAAGAACAGTGGGACATCTAGCTATCAGGGTTTGAGGTGGGAAATGAGAAAGTTAATTCCCCCTCCTAAATTTAAAGCTGTCTCCATCCTTGCTCAAAAAGCCTCATCTGCTTCCTGGTTGCCAAAAAAACCCAAACCACCATTATGCCTTTGCCAAAACCCCAAACTACCCAGCTGTCCAAACCTCCAGCAGGGTCCCTGACAAATCTATAATGCAAAATAAAATGATGTAGCACATTGAAAGTGGTAGAGGGCAAGAGGAGGGTAATATGAAATAAATAGTATTGAATCTGAACATAAATTAACAAGGGATTTTATTGTACTGCAGTAGGGTAGGTAATAAGGAGGGTTCAGGGTGGGGAGTGATACAGTTCTGGGGTTCTTGCCACATAATTTAGGGAGCTCTACCACATATTTACATCAAATGTGCTATGTAATACATGAGACCTTGCTTAACATTTTATGTTATGACTGTAGATAACTTTTATTCTTTTGGCATACTGTGTATCTCAAATACATCTAAGGAAAATGATTAATTAGGGTTCTGTGAGGGCATTACGGAATGCTACAGGACTTGAATTTGGAGCTAGCTATTAAGAAACATGTAGGAGACTGATTTGCCAATATTATCTCATGACATAATATTTTGTTCTGCCAAATTCAATTTAGACTGAAAACATATTCAGCTATATTGGTCATTATATTCTATACATTTTATCATACGTTTCTAAAATTTTAATAGAAGGGCAAATTAAAATAGGTTCCTGGGTTTTTTCTTTAGATCATCCAACTTGTCTCCCATTTGCAAATGAATTAGAACATATCTAATAAAATGAGACTGGTTTTCACTATTGATAAACTTCTCCCCTATGTAAAGGGGCAGCCCAGGTCTATGCACCACTTAAATCTCACATAAGTCCTCTGCAGAAGGAAGAATTTCACCTTTGAATGATTAATCATTCCGTTGTTTTATTGTTGCTGTTTTTTTAAGCTGCTTACCATGTGTACAAGACAACTTGAACTTACCAGGAAAGCCTGCAGACTATATACCAATGATGGAATCCTAATGCTTACCCTACCAGATTTAGTCACATGGGCTGTAAATGAGTGTTTCAGACAAAGTGACTCAGAAGAAGACTACAAAGAGAGAACTGCAATCACTGACAATGCTGAAGGTGGGACTGCACTGGATGTGGAAGGTAAAAGGTCAAAATCAAAAAGTTCTTAGTTAAATTAATATTGAACTACATGCAAGTTCAATATGAATTTGCATGGTGCTAACAGCTTTTTTAAAAGCTGTAAAAAAGCCTCTGCTCATATGCTTCCAAGATTATTTGTGGAAATCCTTTACTTTGTTTTCCATTTTCTTAGAGAATAACAACACTACTAGAGAAAAGATTAATGAGAGTACACTGTAGCTGGAGAAATGTGTTATATTTATATTTTGCATGTTAGTAAGGAACTTTAGTCTCTCATTGATTTACTCTTGTGCAAATTAGGTAACACAATAACACAATGTTGGGCTGAACATGAATTACATTGCATGTAAATATAATTTTGAAATTATTTGTGAAAAGTTAAAGTACACACTCTTAGAAGGTCAGATTTCCAAACAGTCAGAAGCCTAAAGCAATCATATACCTAATTTGAGAGTTTAATTACTTTGACTGTATGTACAAATCATACTAGCTGCTGCCTAACTTGGCACTTGTGAAGATTTTTAATGTATATACACAACTGAAGTAATTGTGCAGGCGAATTAGGTGCTGTTGTTCCATATGACCTGATTTGAAAATCAGATTTATTATGTTAATCTTGCATTAAATAAGTACCAGATTATTGCAAAATCAGTTACTGACGACTGTTTATATGCAGGGTAAACATTTCACACCAGGTTTTGAGCTATTTTACATAAATTGATGTTAGCTGGCAATCATGGTTTATCTTTGGGTTTGCTGTTATATATAAATGCATAAAGATTGATTTCTTTAATGTTATAAAAATTAAATGAGAATTGAGATTATGGATGCATTTTTAATTTATTATTCTATCAAGTGAGTTAGTAAAGTTTTTTGAACAGATTCATCAAAAGAGTTAAACTGCTTTTTAACAATAAGTGAATTTGCAGTTTGTTAGACAGTGGCTCTATTTTTGAATTGCATTAATTACTAGAGATGGACCTCAGCCATGAAATTCAGGTTCACAATTTTTAACATCCCAAAGTCTGGAGACATTCAGTTCCTGGACTTTTGTTTGGGCCTATTTTCCTATAAATACTAGATGTCTTCACTTATAAAGTCTCCAATTCAGCAAAGAATTTAAGCATGTGCTTAAATTTTTAAGACTTCAGTGAGCATTAAGCATGTGCTTAGGTGCTTACCTGAATAGAGATGGACTTGCTGACTTAAAGTTGAACAAATGCTTAAATACTTTATTAAACTGGGAAAGTATATTACTTATTGAACAATTCAGTATTCATAAATATCAGTTTTCTACACACAAAAATCCAATTATCATTGGAAATATCTAAATTAACATATGCTGATTGCTTTACTATGTGCAATGAATAATGGCCTACTAACCTTATGTATCACACTCTTAGGGCTGGTAAGACATAACCACTTTGCTTTGTTCTGTGACTGAATCACTGGCAGGAGAACAGATTGATCTGCAGCACAGAATCATAAAAATGTAGGACTGGAAGGGACCTTGATAGGTCATCTAGTCCTGTTCCCTGTGTTGAACCAGGACTAAGTATTATCTAGACCATTCCTGACAGGTGTTTGTCTATGTTGTTATTGAAAATCTCCAATGATGGAGATTTCACAATCTCTCCCCCCCCCAAGTAATTTGTTCCAGTGCTTAACTATTCTTACAGTTATGAAGTTTTTCCTAAATCTACCTTGCTGCAATTTAAGCCCGTTACTTCTTGTCCTGTCCTCAATGGCTAAGGAGAACAATTTATCATCCTCTTCTTTATAACAACCTTTATGCACATGAAGACTGTTATGTCCCCGCTCAGTCTTCTCTTTTCCAGACTAAACAAGGCCAGTTTTTTAGTCTTTCCTCATAGGTCATGTTTTCTAGACCTTTAATCATTTTTGTTGCTCTCCTCTGGACTTTCTCCAATTTGTACACATCTTTCCTGAAGTGCAGTGTCCAGAACTGGGCAGAATATGCTAGATGAGGCCTTATCAGTGCTGAGTAAAGTGGAAGAATTACTGCTTCTGTCTTACTTGTGTCAACACTCCTGCTAATACATCCCAGAATGATGTTCATGCTTTTTACAACAGTATTATGTTATATACTTTACTCAGATTATGTTAAACTGCCTCTTCCGATGGTACCATGTATTCTTAGAGACTCAGATCCGGTTTTTTGTGTCCACTGTCATAGCTTGTCACTCCAAAACTGCAGCCAAGACCTTGTGTTGTCACTTATCTCAAATAGTTCTGAGGGGTACAGGATGTTGACATGGTGTTCTGCATCAGGCAGTGTTCAAGTGTTTGTCTAGTGTTTCACATTTGGGCTCATTTTTCCAGTTTCCAGTTAGCCATATTGTCACCAGTCTTTGCCACCCCAACTCTCTCTTGATTTGGAATATTGAAGTATTTTCATTCGAGGTCAGCACCTCAGGGTGTTGTTCTGAAGGAATCAGGTTCTTCAGGAACATTGGCATTTCCCACCATTTTGTCATGAGGTAGTGTAGTGATACAGTGGGAGTTGGTTTCAAAGTCCCTGTGATGATCCTACAGGGTTGATTGAGTTCAGTATCTATTTTGTGTGCATAGTGTGAATGACCATAATGGAGCACAGTACTCCACAATTGAGTAACAGAGTGTCTTTGGGTCAGGTCCCCATTTTGTATTGGCCAGTTTCTGGTATACACAGTTCCTGGAGTTCACTTTTTTTTTCAGTTTCTCTATGTGCTCTTTGAATGTTAGTGTTCAGTCTAATGTGACCCTAAGATATACCAGATATTCAAAATATTCAAGGATAGTACCATCCCCCGGAGTTTTTGCTTAGCCTGATGATGCTTGGCCAGGTGGAAGTTGTGCACTTGTGTCTTGCTAGAGTTAGCATTCAGAAACCATGTGCAATAGTATTTTCCAGGCACACTCAGAGACCCAGTTAGAGTGTGCTGAATGTCATCAAATCTTTCCAATTGGGTGGTGATGCAAAGATCATCGGCATGAATGAATCTTCAGATGTCGAGGAATTCTGATTGGTCAATTGTGCTGATGATGAGTTCTGTTTGATAACAAACCAAAGCAGTGTGGACTGATGCACATTCATTTTCATCATCTGATCCAGATGCCACCAACAGTGTTGATTTTCTTTTCTGGTAGTTTGGGTTCTGTCATTTCTGCATTCGAGTGTTGCTCTTTTAAGACTTCTGACAGCATGTTCCACATCTCATCCCTCTCAGATTTTGGAAGGCACTTTAAATTCTTAAATCTTCGGTCAAGTGCTATAGCTATCTTTAGAAAGCTCAGTGGAACCTTCTTTGCATTTTGTCAAAACTGCAGTGAAAGTGTTTTAAATCCAGCAGCATATGCTGGGTCATCATCCAAGACTGCCATAACACAAAATATATGGCAGAATACGGGTAAAACCATGCAGTAGGAGACATATAATTCTCTACAAGGAGTTCAGTCACAAATTTAAATAACACATTATTTTTTAACGAGCATCATCTGCATGGAAGCACGTCCTCTGGAATGACAGTCGAAGCATGAAGGGGCATACAAATGTTTAGTATATCTGGCACATAAATATCATGCAACGCCAGCTACAACAGTGCCATGTGAATGCCTGTTTTCACTTTCAGGTGACATTGTATATAAGAATTGGGCAGCATTATCTCCTGTAAATGTAAACAAGCTTGCTTGTCTTAGCGACTGGTTGAACAAGAAGTAGGACTGAGTGGACTTGTAGGCTCTAAAGTTTTGTATTGTTTTGTTTGAGTGCAGTTATGTAAAAACAAATCTACATTTGTAAGTTGCACTTTCACGATAGAGATTGCACTATAGTAACTCCTCGCTTAACGTTGTACTTATGTTCCTGAAAAATGCTACTTTAAGCAAAACGATGTTAAGCGAATCCAATTTCCCCATAAAAATTAATGTAAATGGGAGGGGGGAGGGTTAGGTTCCAGGGAATTTTTTTTCACCAAACAAAATACTATACATATATATACATATATACACACACACATACATACACAGTATAAGTTTTATACAAACACGTTAATACTGTACACAGCAATGATGAATGTGAAGCCTTGTTGAGGTAGTGAAGTCAGAGTATGGAAGAGGGTGGGATATTTCCCAGGGAATGCCTTACTGCTAAATGATGAACTAGCACTGGGCTGAGCCCTCAAGGGTTAACACATTGTTGTTAATGTAGCCTCACACTCTACAAAGCAGCACAAATGGAGAAAGGGGAGACAACATGGCAGAGAGAGACAGAGAGAGTGTGTGAGAGAGAGCGAGAGAGAGACGTGCATTGCCCCTTTAACTACGCTGACCCCACTCTAAGTACATTGCCTTTTAAAGTAGATCAGTAAGTTGAGATAGCAGCTGCTGCCAGCAAGTTCCCTCCATCCTGAGCCCTGTCGTTTCCCCACCCCCCTTCTCTTTGGCGATAAGGTACAGGAGCGGGGGGAAGGGGACACCCTGACATTAGCACCCCTCTTCCCTCATGCCCCCCCTGCACAGCAAGCAGTATGCTCCCGGGAGCAGCTTCAAGGCAGTGGGCAGGAGCAGGCAGTGCGGGGAGGGACAGCTGAACTGCCTGGCAATTGATAGCTTGCTGGGTGGCTGCCGCACAGGGAACTTAGGGGAGCTGATAGGGGGGCTGCCAGTCCACCCTGGTTCCAAACCCTCCCCTCCCTTCCCCCCCCCCCCCCGGCTAGCTCCAACAGGCTGTCCTTTCTGCAAGCAGTGGACAAAGCAGGCGGCTGCCAAACAACGTTATAAGGGAGCATTGCGCAACTTTAAACAAGCATGTTCTCTAATTGATCAGCAATGTAACAACGAAACAACGTTAACCGGGATGACTTAAGTGAGGAGTTACTGTATAGTACTTGTATGAGGTGAATTGAAAAATACTATTTCTTTTGTTTATCTTTTTACAGTGCAAATGTTTGTAATCAAAAATAAAGTGAGCACTGTGTACTTTGTATACTATGTTGTAATTGAAATCAAAATATTTGAAAATGTAGAAAAACATCCAAACATATTTATAATAAATATAAATTGGTATTCTATTATTAATAGTGCAATTAAAACTGTAATTAATTGCAACTAATTGTTTTAATCTAGTTAATTTATTTTCCTTGAGTTAACTGCAGTTAATTGACAGCCCTAATTACCATTACTATTTATTATCAGGTATATATTACTTCCAAGGGTAGGAATTTCAAAAGTGCCTAAACGTCTAAGAATCATGAATCCTATAAGAGTTGTGCTCGTAAGTTGCTCAAGCACTTCTGAAAATTCCACCCCAAAAAGCTTAGTAGGCCCTTTCTCGGTTACATAGAAAGGTAGATCCCTGCTCCAAAGAACTGGCCCTGAGTCTGCAATGAGCTCTACATGGGCCTAAATAATCAAGGTACAAACAGAAAGAGGTGGAGGAGAGGACAACAACTTGAGATTTATGGAGCAGATTTTTTCAAAGGCACAAAAGGGGGGTAGGCATCCAACTCCTATTGAAGTTCCATGAGAGTTGAGCCACCTAACTTCCCTTTGTACCTTTGAAAATCTCCACCTACAAGTTAATTATTTAGCTCTGTATGTAACTTCTGCATTGTACTTATGTAGTTCCAGGCCTACTTTACTGCTTTCACCCTTTCCTATTTTCTTATTCTTGACCAATAACCTTCCTTTCTGTCTCCATCCCCATGCAAGCTCTCACCTTGCCCAGATGTTGTGACTATAACTTCCCCCTTCACACTTTCCCACAGACAATCAATACCACCCTCCCTTCTCTCTTAAATAAAGCTAAAGTTCAATGAAATCCGATAAAGAGTTGGTTATATGCAGTGGTGAAAGTAAGTCAGGACACTTACTGGTACGGGCCGGAGGGGCTTGGGGGACTCGGGCAGAAGGGGCCAGCATCCCCCAACCAGCCCTTTCAGGCCCCCTGGCCCATGTTGCCCTGGACTCCTGTGTTAATTTAAAGGGCCCAGGGCTCCGGATGCTGCTGCTGCGCTAGTGGCAGCAGCGTCCAGAGCCCCAGGCCCTTTTAAATCGTCCCCAGGGCAACTGCTCCCTTTGCCCCCTCCGCCCGTCGGAGGCTGGGGGGGGGACAAAGGGGCAGGGACATTAAAGCGGTGCAGGGTCCTTTGCCTCGCCAGCGCTTTAACGTTGCTGCGCCTCTCCCCCTCCCCCCCCGCTGACCACAGGAGGAGGCGCAGAAACGTTAAAGCGCTGCCGCGGCAAAAGACCGTCCTTAAAGCGCTGCGGTGGCTTTAATGTCCCTGCCCCTTTTGCCTCCCGTGTTGGTGGCTCTGCCGATATGGACCCTACCAGCAAACTTGCTAAGAAACTTGATAAGAAATGGAAGTATGCCTAATACAAAGTCAGCTGCTTTTAATGAGAGGCCTCATATGTGATAGCATGCTGCTTGCAGAATTAATAGATGGGAAAGACATAGGATGAGCCCCTTTCACAAAGATACTGTGTCCGAATAGCAAATCATACAGCAAAAATAAATACATAAATGAGGGAAAACTAGACAAGGGAAAGCAACACCAAATGCAAATCACTAGATAGAAAACATGAAAAAATATTTGTTTTTAAATTATATACTAATCAAAAATACTCTAGTGAATGTAAAGTTACAGTGATCTGCTGTTCAAAATAAATATAAAAATGAGCTAAAAACAGTTCAGTGCTGCACTAAACAAAAGTGACTGTGGGTACAATTTTCAAAAATATTTATGTTAAGAAGTTATGTTCTTCCTGTGGGATAAACAAGCAGTATTGTATTTTCACAACATATTCATTCTTGTTATTGGTGTTGGAAAACTACCACTACCAGTGAATAACAAGGCTGTAAATACATAAAGGGGCTTTTGTTATATCATACAGTAAGACGTATTATGGTGTTGTGGTGTCCTGTAGACTTCCAGATGCAATTGCTTGTGTTGGCCTTAATGGTCTGGGACCTCGTTGTGAGAGACACTCTGCCGCCTGTGCCTTGTTGCAGCAGCAAAAATATAAGATCTCTCATTTCCTAGGATTCTCGCTCTACAGCTGCTGGCAGAGCTTTCTCAGCTGAGTCTTAGGGATTCATTCTCCACAGTAGTCCACCACACCTGGAGTTTGGTGAGCTTCAGGCTTCATCATAAATTTCTTTTTGTTTGTTTTTTTTGCCTTGCCTTTGAGGATTATTTTAGTTTGTTTAATTGTATTGAGCCATTAATTTGGATCATTATATATTTAGCACTTGGTCTCTGCCACGGGTAAGTCACAGTAGTCTTCGAATCATAGAACCATAGGGTTAGAAGGGACTGTCAAGGTCATCTAGTCTAACCCCCTGCTAAGATGCAGGATTTGTTATGTTTAAACCATCCAAGACACCAGCCTCCTTTTGAAAACCTCCTGTGTGCTGCAAATGTTGAGCTCAAAAGCTCGTCTCTTTCACCAACAGAAGTTGGTCCAATAAAAGTTATTACCTCACCCGCCTTGTCTTGCTCATATACTGGGATCAGCACGGTGACTACACTGCAAACAACTTTTTAAAATCCATCTGCTATCTCTCGTCTAATACATATATTTGTAAGCTCTTTGGGGAAGGGAGCATCTTTTTTTTGTCTTGTGTTTGTACAGTGCTTAGCACAAAGGCATGCTGGTCCATGATTAGGACTCCTAGGTGCTACAGTAATACAAATAATAAATAGATAATGAATCACATAATTACATAACCCCAGAGAGCCCAGCAGTGTATACGTAGTTTGGCCTTTTGTACAGTTTGTAGTTTTTAAGATGAAGGCGCCCAATTAATCATGAGACTGGGCATGTGAACTTTTGAGGGCCAATTTTCAATTGATTCAAACTTTGAAACTAAGTAACTGATTTTCTGGAAACTTCTTCAGAAAATTCTAGCTTTTCTCAGATTGCATGCTGAAACTTGGAGCAAAGATACTGTGTTTTTCATCTCAAACACACAGGCTGAACTCCCACTGCAAATGCAAAACAGAACGCAACCTTAATTATAACATCACAATGGGTCTGCCATAATATTCAAGTAGAGTATATTTAAACTAGTGGTGAACAATTCCTAAGAGTTTTCTAAACCAATGGGAGAAACCCCAAAGGTTCTTATCTGCTTGTACTTAACCTATCCTTGTGAGACCTTCATTTGCACGTTTGCTTTGTCCTCAAATAGCAGTGCTTCAGATTTGATCACTTTTGCTCCCTTTCCTATATATAAAATGCCCTTTATAATCACCATTTTCCCCCATCCCGTTGTTCTTTCCATTATGTGTCACTCTTCTATATTACCACTGTGCCACATTCCTGTGTGCTGCAAATATTATCTATTTAAGCTTTTGTTAGTTGTTGTAAGTAATGAACAGTTTATCTTAATATGTTCATCTTAATATTCTTCATATCCAGTATGTGAATATAAGGATAAAAAAAATTGTGTGGTGCAGTCTAAATTAAACTACAGTAGAAACTCACAGTTACAAACACTCGGAAATGGAGATTGTTTGTAACTCTGAAATGTTCATAACTCTGAGCAAAATGTTATGGTTGTTCTTTCAAAAGTTTACAGCTGAACATTTGACTTAAACAGCTTTGAAAATTTACTATGCAGAAGAAAAATACTTCTTTTAACCATCTTAATTTAAATAAAACAAACACAGAAAGTTTCCTTACCTTGTCAAATCTTTTTTTAAACTTTCCATTTTTCTTAGTAGTTTAAATTAAAAATTAATGGAGATATCCTATCTCCTAGAACTGGAAGGGACCTTGAAAGGTCATTGAGTCCAGCCCCCTGCCTTCACTAGCAGGACCAAGTACTGATTTTTACCCCAGATCCCTAAGTGGCCCCCTTAAGGATTGAACTGACAGCCCTGGGTTTAGCAGGCCAATGCTCAAACCACTGAGCTATCCCTCCCCCCTAACTGTGTTAAATGTGTTTACATTTAATGTGTTTACATTTAACACAATACTGTGCTGTACAATATTTGTTCTGTTTGTTTGTTTTTTGTCTCTGCTGGCTGACTGCATACTTACAGTTCAAAATGAGGTGTGTGGTTGACCGGTCAGTTCATAACTCTGGTGTTCATAACTCTGAGGTTCTACTGTAATAAGATGAGAAAAAAACTCTTTAGGGTAAAGTGATATAAAGATAAACTTTGTAATTGTTTCTTTCCAAATACAAAGATAAGTACATGGAGAAAGTGAAGATAAAGTCAGAATTATCCTTGATGACTCCAGACAGTTTGAATATGATAGATGATTCTTTGCTCACCATCATCCTCAGAAATCCTATCGAGGTCTGGGTTTCCTGTGGAGAACCTTTTCTACCTTTGGATGGTATGAGTTTACTAGGTTTCTTTCCCCCTTCACACAAGTGAGATACTTAGGGCTTATCCACATTGAGACTTAGTGCACAGTAAGCCAGGATGTAAATCTAGAGTGCACTAGCCTGTAGTGCTCTAAGTCACCTCATGGACCCTACAACTGTGCTCTAAAAATTCCATGATGTGCTTTGACCTATTGCTATTTCAAACAACAGCTGTAGGTCAAACCCACTATGGAACTTTAAGAGTGCAGTAGCAAGGTCCACAGAGCTAGTTAGTGTGTGGCAAGCTAGGGTTCTGTAGAGTTACATCCTTGTTTGTCATGCACTAAGTCTCCATGTGGGCAAGCCCTTCAAAAGAGAATGAAAATCTCAGAGCAAATTCTAAAACACTTTATTTTAGTGAGGAATAAAAATTAAATATCTTATCTGGGAAAAAAAGTTATGCTGCTACAAGTACATCACACACACACACACACACACACACACACACACACACACATATATTTCATTTGCACTCCTCACTTGAGTAAAGTTAATCACATACATAAGTCTTTCCACAATTGGACACCTAAAAAGAAAGGTATGGCTAGTATATATTACATGTATTATCCAGAAGCTTAAAATCAACCTCCAAATGATACCCATTATGTCAATAAAATTCAAAGTAGATAGTAAGATGTATGGACTGTTGAGCAATGATTCAAGCATAGTGCTAGTTATTTGTTTCACAATGAGGACTAATTGTCTGAACATTGTCATTTGTAAGAATAAAGCTCTTCTATCAGCAGGAGCATGTTTAAAAAAATGTTAAACCAATCTTCTACCGCTATACTTAAGCATGCAATACTGGAAAAGTAAATGTAGTACAGTACTGTACATGTTAAATCAATATGTCTTTGTGTCTTGCTCTGCAGAGACATTCCTTAAGCTTCATATGCTTTCAGAGAGGTGGGGTTTTTTTTGAGGACACTTACATTTTAATTACTTGTCTGTAATTGGATCTGTTTAACTCGCTAATACTCTCAAGTTCTTTAAAAACTATTTGCTAAAAGAGATCCAATTATACTAATCAGTCAGCCAAAAAAACCTATTAATGCAAACCACTACAAAGAAAAATAACCAGTAGAAATATTATATATTTCTTTTATTACAGCTTTGCAAAAGGCAGCAAGGCAAGAGAAACAAAACTGGTTAGAGAAGGACAAAATTTTGGCTGATCTAAATGCTATGAAGCACAAAATGAGACAGCTGCAAGGTTGGTATCAGTATGCATTTAATTTAGAACTGTTGTGATATTTATGATAACCAAACTTTGATTTCCAAAGTGGCTGACTAAATTGTCTGTACAACTTCCAAACTTGCGTGTGCAGACTAACTTTTGGGCGCCCAATACTCAACACCCTGCAATAGGAGCCATCCCTTGTGCCCACATAAAGCCCCATTGGTTTCATTTGGGCTCCATGCTGGTGCTGGGTTCACCCACTCAGATTTGATCGCAAATGTTAAGCTTCAGTGGGTATTTGGACATTGAAAGCCTTTTCTATGCAGACAAAATTCATTTTGTTAGAAAATGCATTCACTAACATGTTTTAACTGATAGAATTAAGGGTTTGTGCTAGAAACAGATATTTGGGTAGTGTTCACAGTAGACTTTATACATGTGTTAAGTGCCTCAAGTTACTTGGCAATCACTTAACTCAAGGTAAAAAGGTTTAGTGTAGACATATCCTGAGTGTGGAGAGGGACAATAATGTTTAAAAACACATTAGCTGGTTGTGGTTAACCCTAGGCACCCTTTGCACTGGAGGCTGTGGGGAGGATGGTATAGCAGTAAATGGCTATACTAGTTCTCTGCCTCCTGTGGACCCTGCCTCAGCAAAACAGTGTGAAGGGGTTAGAGCCAAACAAAGAGTCTGGCCATGTGCTTTACTGCAGCTTCCTGTAGGAAACCAAAAAGGCCCATCGTTGTCATAAGAACATAATAACTATACAGCCAGGCCAATTGTCCATCAAGCCCAGTATCCTGTTTTCCAGCAGTGGCCAGTGCCAGATGCTTCAGAGGTAATGAACAGAACAGAGCAATTATTGAGTGACCCATCCCCTATTGTCCAGACCCAGCTTTTGGCAGTCAGAAGTTTAGGGATGCCCAGAGCATGCAATTGCATCCCTGATCATTTTGGCCAATAGCCACTGATGAACCTATCCTCTGTGAACTTATTTAATTATTTTTTGAATCCATTTATATTTTGGCCTTCACATCCCCTGGCAGCGAGTTCCACAGGTTGACTGTGCGTTGGCTGAAGAAGTACTTCCTTGTGTTTGTTTTAAACCTGCTGCATATTAATTTCATTGGGTGATCCATGTTTTTTGTGTTATGTGAAGCGCTAAATAACACTTCCATCTTCACTTTCTCTACACCATTCATGATTTTATAGACCTCTATCATATCCCCCTTAATCATCTCTTATTGAGGGAGAACAAAACATATGTTACAGACTGAAAGAAAATGAAATTGATGCTGCGAGTTAGAAATTTTATCTAATATTTATCTGGATTGTGGTGTTCACATTAGGCTTTTACTTGGTCTGCATAGAAATGTCTGTCTCGATCATTGCCTGGCCTTGCTTGCTATGTGTACTGTTTGTTTTTACAAATTATACTTACTGGTAGTATTTTAGGACCAATAGCTTTAAAAGTTCTGTGACCAGAGGTAAGAAAAAAATAAAATGAACCATCAAAGTAAGAAAACATGGTTTTACAAGAGTTATTTTGAAATTTCTCTGCCTCAGGGCGACGAATAACAGCCTTTAAACCATCCACCTTGGTGCCCACAAAAAGCCCAGTTCAGCCTATAGTAGTAGAAGGAGGCTGGACTGAAGAAACCCAAGAAGAGATGAAACTTATGGAAAATATACAACATACCGAGGTATAAAATACAATCTGTATCAATATTCCAAAATTAAAAACAGCATTCATGTTGTTGAGGAATTTTATCACAAGGTTAGATTTTACTCTAGTCCTATGATACATTGATCATGTGACTCAGTACAGCCTATATATTTCATTATCTGAAACAGTATTCACAGGCTGCCAAATACACACACAAGGTTTTCAAACAGTATTTGAGATAAAATACAACATGCTTATACAAAAGGTAGATTGTACCAGACCAACCTGATCTCCTTCTTTGAGAAGATAACTGATTTTTTAAATTTAGTAGATCTAATCTACATGATTTCAGCAAGACATTTGATATAGTTCCACATGGAAATTATTAGTTAAATTGGAGAATATGGGGATTAATATGAGAATTGAAAGGTGGATAAGGAACTGGTTAAAGGGGAGACTACAGCAAGTCAGACTGAAAGGTGAATTGTCAGGCGGAGGGAGGTTACCAGTGGAGCTCCTGAGGGATCAGTCTTGGGACCAGTCTTATTTAACATTTTCATTCATGGCCTTGGCACAAAAAGTGGGAATGTGCTTATAAAATCTGTGGATGACACAAAGTTGGGAAGTATTGCAATATGGAGAAGGGCCGGAATATCATAACAGAGGATCTGGAGGACCTTCAAAACTGGAGGAATAGAAATGGGATGAAATTTAATAGCGCAAGATCATGCACTTAGGGACTAACAACAAGAATTTTTGCTATAAACTGGGGACTTATCAGTTGGAAGCAGCAGACCTGGGTGTATTGGTTGATCCCAGGATGACTAAGAGCCACCAATGTGATGTGGCCGTGAAAAAGGCTGATGCAGTCCTAGGTTGCATCAGGTAAGGTATTTCCAGTAGAGATAGGGAAGTGTTATTGCCATGATACAGGGCAGTGGTGATATCTTATCTGGAATACTGTGTGGAATTCTGGTTTCCCATGTTTAAGAAAGATGAATTCAAACTGGAACAGGTGCAAAAAAGGGTACTAGGATAATCAGAGGAATGGAAAACCTACCTCGTGAGAGAAGACTCAAGGAGATAGGCTTGTTTAGTCTAATCAAGTGAAGGCTGAAGGGAGATCTGATTGCTCTCTATAAATACATCGGAGGGATAAATACCAGGAGATGAAGAGGAGTTATTCAAATTAAGTGCCAATGTGGACACAAGAACAAATGGATATAAACTGGTCATCAACAAGTTTAGGCTTGAAATCAGACGAAGGTTTGTAATCATCAGAGGAATGAAGTTCTGGAACAGCTTTCCAAGGGGAGCAGTGGGGGCAAAAATCCTAACTTGTTTCAAGACTGAACTTGATAAGTTTATGAAGGCGATGGTATGATGAGATTGCCTACAATGGCATGTGGCCCAGCTGTGACTGCTAGTAGCAAAAAATCCCCAACGGCCAGAGATGGGGCACTAGATGGGGAGGACTATGAGTTACTACAAAGAATTCGTTCCCAGGTGTCTGGCTGATGGGTCTTTCCAGTATGGGTTTAACTGATTGCCATATTTGGGGTTGGGAAAGAATTTTCTCCCACGTCAGATTGGCACAGACCATGGAGGGTTTTTGCCTTTTTCTGTAGCATAGGGCATGGATCACTTGCTGATTTAAACTAGAGTAAATGGTGGATTCTCTGTAACTTGAGGACTTCAGAAGCTCGCCCAGCATGAGGTCTATTACAGAAGGGGACAGGTAAGATTCTGTGCTGGAGGTTAGACTAGATGATCACAATGGTCCCTTCTCGCCTTAATGTCTATGAGTTTATGAGACTCAATGGAGCCCAAGAATTATCTTAATAAGGAAGATGAAAAAGGCCCTATAGATATGTGCATGAGCAATTATATCCAGCATAGTAAAATGGGCTTGATAGTTTCAATGCTAATCATTCTTAAGGCTATATCTGAATATCTGACAAGAGCAAAGAGTGAATTACTAATTTCATTAGAGACATCCAGACTCAAAAAAGTAGTTTCCATCCATATGGTTAATCAGTCAATCTTATAGTATATACCAAAACAGAGGGAAAAAATTAAGATAGGATATATGTGCAAGATCTTGGAAAACTTCCACTCTTTGGTTTGGGAAATATTTTAATCAAAACTGTCTTGAAGGCTCATGGGCCTTGTACAAATTTGTGAAAAGAAACAATACTATGGCATTATAGCATATTGACATGTTTATGATGTAATTAAGAGATAAAGAACAGTTCATCGTAACAAGTCATTTTTCAAAACCAGGTTGGATAAATTATTATTCATAATATGAGTATTTATACTATGTATTATAGATTCATTGTCTTGTATATTTAAGCATGAGAGAGAAGCCGAATTTTATATCACTGAGCGTTATGGCTGAGTATAGGGATACTATATACTATATAATCTGATAGCTATTGTCTCTCAATATCAGTCACGTGAGGTCCTGATCATAAAATATACATCTTACAACATACAGTATCTCAATTCCAATTAGGTAATTTTAGGGCCACATAGTCACAATCTGCTCACAGATTTCCACTGAGTTAAGTATCAATCATCATTCAGTGGGATGGATTGAGATCATCATATATCCCTCACTATTTACGATATTATTGTACTAAAAATAGATTATTCTGTTCTTCTCCTAGATTTTCTATTTTACTATACATAAAATACTATAAAGGGACGGGGCACCTATGTTAACTTCACATTCTCCGAAATCTTTTCATTATAGACACACTTCTCAGAGGTTCAAGCATCACAGTTCAAAAGAAGTTCTCCATTTTCATCTAAACTGCTGTCATCCAAACACAGATGTCTGTATGATCAACCATCTGCAAAAAGAGTGTGGGCTTACCGGAATGGTTATAAACCCGAGCAAGGAGTTTATGCCTGGGGAAAAACAATGTCAGAGGTAAAGTGCAGCAGAAGGAATCAGTCTTTCAAAAGTGCTGCCTATTGCTAAAAGATGGCTTCAATAAGGATTCAAAATCTGTTAAGGAAAACATGGACTTTAAGGGTTTAATTCTGTGTTGGAATTACATCAGCAGAGAATTTGGTTTTAGGAGTCAGAGTTTATTACGATTTAGCAAGTTTAATATATATTTAATACAGAAAAAAGGGAAAACACACTTTTCCCATTATGGCAGATTTTCCTTGGATGCATTTGATTCTTCTCTGTAGTCTGTAAGATGATGCCCCTTAGTAAACCAAAACCAACATGATGTAACTACCAAAAAAAGCTCTTAAATGGACTTTCTGCAGATACCCTTAATAATATAATGGAAACAATTCAGGCAAAAGAATGTGTGATGAACTGTGACCCCAGGCAGTAGCAATTTATATGGTACATCATCAAATTACCAAGGTAAAAAGTCCTCAGCTTTCTGTTCATGCTTACAATGGCAGAATTGTAAAGCTCGTCAGTATATGCTGATTTTTAGATCTAGAATATTTTCTCAAACAAATGTACAAATGTATTTCTATTTGTTTTCATTATTGTAGGAAATATCATTTATTAAAGTAAACCCTTAATAGGATTATCCAAAATGTAAATGATTACATTATTTTAGATCATGAGCCAAATTCAGCCATGTGATACAAGAAGATTGGGCAATGATAAGGGGAAAGTGCATGCCAACACAAAGCATCTGCAACTCTCGCTCTGCTTGGGAGGTCGCATCTAGCCAGTACAGCCCCCAAAAGACCAGAAAGGAAGTGTGATCATGCTGGCTGGGGAATGCACTGATTATTTGCATCACCTCATGCAGTCAGTGCTGGCAGAGCTCTCACGGAGTCCCAACTGAAAGATAAAGCTGCCTCTCTGCTGGTCTCTCAGCAGACCTTCTGTGGGATTGCAATAGGGTAATCAGGTCAAGTGGTGCAATGGAATGCCTTTGGCCCCACCCCTGTGTGCCAGAGGGGGTAACTCAAGTGAATTGTTTACAAAGTAACCTTTTCTTTTCATTTTTTGACAACCACTGGTGTTTGCACCGCCATCTGTCCCACTCTGTTTTAATTGCTTATTTCAAGGACCCTCCAAGGAGATTCCTAACCTTTCTCTTTATAGTATGAGGGCTTCAGAAACATGACAAAAGCACAGGAGCAAAGGTGAAATGGGTTGTGTAGTCATCAGAACATCAAGATGAAATTGTATCTCCTCCAATATTTGCTGAGTTATTATTGTATATAATACATGTATGTGAGACCCAGGTTATCAGAATCACACATGCCTATCCTGCCCACAGTTTCCCAGCTTCTGTTACTGCTTCCTTCTCCTCTCCAATAACTGCTGTCCTCCCCAAGACCTCCAACTGCAGCCACCTGGTCCTTTGAATTATTAGAGCTGCTGTCCATCCACTTCTCCCCCATGCATTGTGTATTGTTGCATAAAGTAGTAGCTCCAAGCCTGGCATTAAATTAGTTTTTGCCTCCTGCTCTGGCATCAAAGTGACTCAGGGGGACAATCTCCTTCCCATGCCAAGGCTGCTCTCATAGCGTCTCCCTCAGTATTGCAGTGGCTTTCATCCTCTGCCCCAGTGGAGTGTCTCTGGGAGCCAGAGCAGCTCTTGCAGTAGGCTCTGATGAATTCTCTTTCAGATTTGAGAGCAGAGCAGCCTTGAATTATTAGATTTTTGTATATTTTCAACTTCCGTTTGTTTGCAACAATCAGTTTATTATCTTGACTTATTTACTTAATGGTTGAAGTGTGTAATACCTATCTAGAAGAGTTAGAATAATATAGTAAAACAAGTATTCATTTATATACATATAGTCATTTATATAAACTTATGTATGTATTTAAATGTGTGTATGTAGATTAAGACACACATATTTTAAGGCCTTTTTCTTTGTCTCATTCTGAAACTATACATTGATCTTAAGACCAAACCACAGATAAAATTCTTGAAATTGCCCAAACACTGAGCTAAAGCATTCCATAAATCCAGAAAGAGCTAAATAGGGGGAGCCAATAGAATTATATTAACCATTCGCATGCAGACAAATATATGTCATTTGAAGGTTCATTAATTTTGGTCTTTATTTTTTTGGTGCTTATTTTTAAAATGTCCCAGTATAAAGCGATAGTTCTAATAGAATGTCCCTACTGCTTTCTGTTCATATTCTCTTTACAATGTTGTTTCTGTCTCTGCTGACTTTCTCTGTATGGACCAAAGCCTGACCTCCTTTCTCAGGCAAAATTCTCATGAACATTAATGAAAGGTTTGCTTGAATAAGGATTTCAGGTCTGGGATCCAGAGAAGATTCTACAGCACAAGATTCTGTAACATCTCTTTCATCATCTGTTTGGTGTTCTTCCACCATGTCTGGCGAACTGTATTTCTGTGTTTATTTTACAGCATAAGTCTGTGCATCTGTATGCAGTGCTCAGTATCAACACAATTTTCTCCATTTCAGCTGCTGGATAACTGCACCACCAGGCTAAATATGCAACAGCCTGCCAAGGCTCTGTATACACCGGATGGTGAGCCACTCCAGTCATGGGATGAAATAGAGAGAGACATGCTTCTGTGTGTTTCTGCTGGAAATCCTTTTCTGAGCAGAAAAGGTAATTAATCACAGATTCAGATTTGTTCTTCATCAAAGAAGGTGCCAAAACTTGCTATGTGTCCCATTGTTTGTTATTAGAAAGATAGGTTAAATTAAACTGTAACTTAACTGTACATAATGGATGAGATCCTGTCCCTACTGAAGACAATGGCAAAATTCCCATTGACATAAATGGGGCCAGGATTTTACCCAATGTTTTTAATATGACACTTTACAAACTACAGTAATTTAAAATAACATTAAAACCAACCAAGTATTTTATAATGATTTTCTTTTAACAGACTTATTTTACATTAATACTTTGTTTTAGCCATTGAACTGCTCTTCAAGCTTTTACTTAATTTTCCTATTTTTCCTTCATTCTTGTTCCTGATATTACTGGTGTGATAAAATCCCCAAGTTGCAAACTATCCGTGTTACCTCTCTTATCAATCCAGCAGTAGGTTTCTAAATTCCAGTAATTTAAAGTATTGTATCACTCTCACCTGGATGATAGCTGCAGATTGGAAGGTGCCTCTAGACCAGAGGTCTCAAACTCAAATGACCACGAGGGTCACATGAGGACTATTATATTGGCCGAGGGCCGCATTACTGACACCTCCCCCTGCCACCCTTGGCCCTGTCCCCACTCCACCCCTTCCATGAGGCCCTGCCCCCATTCCAACCCCTTCCCTGAAATCCCCACCCCAACTCTGCCCCCTTCTTGCCCCCCAGGGAGGGCAGGAGGGGTGTGGTGGGGGCTCAGGGCAGGGAGTTGGGGTGTGAGGTGCAGGAGGGGTGTGGGGTACAGCAGGGGGTTGGGCTGCAGGCGGGGTGTGGGGTACAGCAGGGGGTTGGGCTGCAGGAGGGGCTCAGGGGGCGGGCTCTGGCCCGACACGCACCGGGGGCAGGACAGGCCACCTGCCTGCCTGCCTGCCCCCGCACCGCTCCGGAAAGTGGCTGAAACCTGGGGGAGGAGGGGCACAGGGCTCTGTGTGTTGCTCTTGCTTCAGGCAGCACCCCCAGCAGCTCCCATTGGCTGCTGTTTCTCTTTTCCCGCCAATGGGAGCAGCTGGGGGCGGGGTCCCTAGCTACAGAAACACACAGACCCCTTCTGCCC